CTATTTAAACTTTATGTAAGTTATTTGTTATTTTATATTAGGCATAGCTTGCCCTATAGCATGGTGTATTTTTATTTGTTTTGTTAAAAGTTCTATGTTTTATATATAGGCTAAAGTGAGTTTGACGTTGTATTTTGTTGTTGCATTCAAGCAATTGACGCCGAATTGCCACTAATTCAAAAGTGAAAGTAAAATGCACACGGTGCTTTTAAGCTATTTAAAAGTGAAGGAAAGCGAGGAAAGAGGGAAAATTCAAATGAACTAAAAACGAATAATTGCTTTACTCCGAATTGCCGCTATTTTAAAGTGAAAGTAAAATGCGCATGCAGCTTTTGCAAGCTATTTAAAAGCGACGGAAAGCTAGGAAAAGAGGGAACGCCCCGCCCCTGCGGTGATACCGGTATTACCGGTGTTGTCACACCAAACAATGTAGATCCTCAGAACACCGTCACAACCCTACAAAGTGGTTGCCGAGCAACACACAGAAGTAAACAAAGGTGTATGTTTGTAGTGTAATTTACAACAGCTTCGAACGCGGTTCAACCAATCAGAATCAAGGACCGGAACAATTCGTTTTATAAAAATAAAAGGGCTTATCATCTTTTAAAAAGGAAGAGAAAATATTTTCCATACCATATACTGTTGACAAACAAACTCTTTTTCACTGGATTATCAACAGGCAGATATTTATTACGTTTTACTTTTTTTTTTTTTTTTTTGATTAAATATTTTGTTGATTCAATTTTACATTTTTAAGATGAATATGTTATTTTATTTATTAGCAACATTTTACCTTCTATTAAACAAACAGTTCACCCAGAAATAAATTTATATCATAATTTACTCTTTATTAAGACTTTTTCTCTTTGGAACAGTAATTTCATACAGTAAATACAGTTTGTGGCCAGTGGCTATCAAGTTCCAAAAATGAACAAAAAAGCACCGTAAAAAAACTAATGGTCCTAAATAGGGCTTAAAGTATTACATTGATTTATTAATTTTAAGTATTTGGGCTTTTGAGAGCAAGTGGAAAATGTGCTGAATGTCTCATTTCATCCAAGTGAAATTAGCAAGCAGTTAGACTGAATTTACATTCGTTTTAAACGCGGAGCCAGGCGCGAGTCGACACAGGTTGCGCTCGTGCGTCAAGCCTCGTCCATACTGCCAGATGCGCTCGTGGAGACTTGCGGACCCGGGTGCGAG